CAGAGCCCATCTAAGATAATTCCTACCACTTCAGACCTGCACAAGGTCTGAAAGAGAGACATCACAGGAATCCATACATGTGTGAGAGGGGTCACCAACACTGCCTGGTGTCAGAGCGCTCCAAGTCAACTGGTAACAAGCACTAAATCACTCCATTGCTTTAACTAAAAATTGACGATCAATTTTTGATTTAATCTCCTGTCATAGCAGAGTCTGGTTTTACTCATTGCTTTGGCCTTTTCAGTTGGGTTTGTGAGGGCTTTTTAGGTGCAAATGAAAGCAATTTTGGGTTCCAGTATTTTTCACATAAATTCCTTATCAGCCTGTGGGGGTTTTCCCCCCAGATTTTTCCACAAAGGCATGTGTCAAGAACTGTATATTGCTTATGTGAAATAAAAACCCAGATGATCAGACATCCACAGAGGCCTCACTGTAGAAAAAGCAGGTGTACACACCCTGGTTGCAGGCTGACATCTTGACTAAATATTTAAGGCCATAACTTGTGATACAAAGAGCATGTACTCATCTAATCCTTGAATATCAAGGCAAATCCCAGGCTTTAGATAGCTTTGATTTGGATTCCAGGTTCAATAGCTCTTTTCCCATGCCAGCATACACTCTAGGTCAGAGTACTCTGCTCCCCAAGGCCATCAGTAAGATTGTTTTGCATGTACAGCAAAAACTAAAATTAAAAACTGCCCAATAACTTCCCTTCTATGACTTCTTTCTCTTTCCTGTATCTTTGCCAAGTTAGTATACTAAAGTTTTCCCAGATGTCTGTAATGAGTGCAGCATTTTTGGAAAATTTTAGCTATTTTGGAAGAGTTCAACAGTTTCTCAGAAGAAGGGCGAGAAAGAAGAGAACTCCCACCATCATGTTTTAAAAAATTAAAACCCAATCCCTAAAAACCTCTGGAATTAGGAAAAGTTGTCTCAAGTTGTTTATAGGATGCCTTTGGATATTTGTTTACTTCACCTAACCAAGATAATGACTCCTGAAAGGGCTGGCTGAGGCTTGCCAGAGCTTGTCAGTTCAACTCGTATCATCTATGTGCTCTACATGTGTCTCAACCCAAATCCTTCAGTGTCTTCCCCACACTTTTTCTCTGTGGTGTGAATTGGTGTGTTTCAGAGAACAAGAAGAGAGAAAAGGAAACATGTCCCATGCTTACTTCCAAAGGAAGAGTTAATCTCTTTCCCACTAAGGGAAAAGCCCAGAGGGGTGAGACTGGAGGCTTGCAGGCTGCACTGCCCCACTATTAAGGGAGATTCAAGACTGATGATGAAAAACTAGGGATTGGGAAAGAAGGAGGAAAACATAGAAACTAGGGAAAGACAACTGGAAGAAACAGTACAGAAAGATGGGCAAGGAAAAAGCTCACAACAGAGGGCAAGGGACAGCTCTGTGTCTGTGCATCTGTCTTCAAGGGCAGCAGAGGGTGGGTGAAGGCAGTGAAGGATCTAAGTAATACATTAATGGAAACAGGCTGCAAAACAGGAGGACATAACCTCCACCCCAGCCTGGAACACAGCATGAGGCTGGATCCCAGCAGCAGCACTTGCCTCCTGCCATTCCAGCACACCGAGGTGTGGTATGGAATGCACATTTTATCATTGCACCACCCTGGGTAAGGGAATGGAGTATAACCACCAAGGCAACACTTTAGCACCATCCCAGATAGGTAGTTCACCAAGCAGCTGGATGAGAGTTAATGTTTCCACATTTCTTTTTCAGTTTGCTCTTTTACAGGAAAAGAAAAAACACTAAATAGGAAGCTCTTTAAAGATTAGATATGCAAAGTTAGACATAAGGCACTAAATATCTATGTTGGTCTTGCCTGTGCAACCTTTAGCTTTTATGGTAAAAAAAACCTTAAATTATTGTAAAGTGTAAGGTATAATGCTTTGAGATTTATAAAAAGGTTTCTAAGTATAACTGAAATTACTTCATTAAAATGAGAAATAACTTCTGCATTTGCAGCAGGTTATGAAGGAGGGGAAGGCACTAATCCATGTGTTGCTTCATTCAACATGAAAAGAACCAAGTTACAAACCTCTAAAAAAAAATGGAAAACACAGTGTATTGCAATACAAATGCTAGGAGTTCCCTTTTTTCCTGTGACAGATAAATGAAACAAGAAGTCAGCTATTTTTTTGAAAAGAGGAATTTTGCCAGTGGTTTTGATTTACATAGCTCTCAAGTTTGCTGAAACTGTTAAAGCTTCAGCCAGGAAATTGTTTCTTTGTTTCGATCTTAAAGGATGAGTCTATATTTTTAATATCCAGGTCATGCTTTAGTTTCTAAGAAAAAAAAAATCTACTACTAAGAAAATGTAACTGTTTACCACTCAAATGTTGGATGTGTCTCACTGATAGTCAGCCAAGGAACTCTGACACATGATATCAATGTTTCTCTAGTTAACTCCAGTTAACACAGTTAACTCCAGTTTCTGGTGTTGGTTTTTAATTTTCTCAGTGTTAAGTGGCAGAAATCAAAAGCATTAAAAAATCCTGTTATATTTTTATTCAGATTTTGAAGCTGTGACCTCACTTTTCCAACCAGTTAACCAGTAAACTGAAGTTAAGCCTCTGCTACAAACCATAGGTCCTTTGCTTAGCTGTACATGAAAGCCTGGTCAGTGGTCTCTGGTAACTTACCCTAACTGAAAAGATACCTGCTCTTCCAAATATCTGAAATTTTCAGAACAACAAGAGGAGGCAGAGAATATTTGTTGCCTATTTTCCTCCTTATACTGCTTTTTACTTTACTAAAACCTCATTTTCATGGTAGCCTCTCTACCCTTTACCTACTTTTAATATTTTGTATTGTGGGATGGAAGGGACCAACAGTAAGTAAAGAACCAAGCACACATTCCAAATGCTACACAACTAACAGTGTGGCCAGAAAGTGTGTGCCTCTTCCTCCAAGCCACAGCAGTGCAGTTCTGGATCCCTGTGTAGGCATTGCCTCTTGCACTCACAGCTGCTTCCCCATGAGCTCAGTGGTATCAGGCCAGGCTGACACTCCTGGCTGCAGTCAGCTCCCCAGCATGCTTAAATCATGCAGGCATCACCTCAAATAAGCCCCTTGGCTTTTGATGTCTGTCATGGCTCCTCTGACTCGCCCAGACATGGGCCTTCTACAAATCCTGACGTTTATGTCCAACATACACATGGCATGAATTTTCTACATCCCTTCACTTCATCTAGGAAGCAAAACCACCTTTTATCTTACAACACCTTTTCTGCTAAATAATCCTGCATGCGACCACTACTTATTTCCAGTCTCTGGCAATCGAATTTAATGGGCAAGTACCAAGGCTCAGCAAGCATCCTAGGGACAAGTTACCTACTGTACAGCCTCGGGACTGCATCAGCACTATGCGCTGCTGCTGAGGGAGGCACTGGGACAGCATCTCAGCTTCATCTCCTCCTGTTTGCTGCTTCCACTGAGTAGAAGTAGATGGAAAAGAGATAACTGGCATAATTTTATAATTCAGCTGGAAAATAATTTGTCTCTCGCTTTTTTTTTAAATCTGTACAATCAGAACTATTTTTCCCCCCAGCAGAAAATGTTCTAACCACTGAGTGTACCTCGCCGCCACCGTTTCTAACTCTCCATCAGCTGCACACGGCCGCCACCTCCTGGCACAAATCTGATTTCTTGTGGTCCCAGAGGGTGCCAGCTGTAAAAATGCTTCCTATGTAGAGTTCCATCGTTATAGATGTTATCCTTCCTTTGATAGGAAAGTTAACCCTTTATTTTCCATCAACCATGCCAAAAAAGTGACAGTTAAAATTACTGCTTACTCGCAAGGATGGGTAAAGATCCCCCTAAAACTACAGCTAAGCACTCAAAACTGTGCTTCAGTCAGCTACCTTTTGACAGTTACTTCTCTAGGAATGGTAGCATAGCCTTTCCAGCTGTTCTGCCTTGTTGGTCACACTAATCTTTCAGCCACACTATCCCCCAGCCACCTGGAGAGATAAGTCTGGAATGGATATGGGGTTAGTTCTCTCTGCCCACGGGAGCAGCTCATCAGCCAGGCTTATGGAGTCTCACTACTGAACTAGATTAGCTAAAGTGTATAATCTAGGATGCTTCTTGGTTTTGATGGAGGAGGGTGTGAGGAGAAAAAAAGCTGCTACCTAAGAATGACTTTGCATTTGGCCAAGGGTTGGGCCACATGCAAGAATTCAGTCCTGTCCTGCTGATGACTGAAAGAGCCTTGTGGCAGAGGTAATGGTTGATTGCACTCAGGGCTTGTACAGCTTGTATTGTTTTAATTCCCCTCTATTTATCTCTGTATCCCAAAACACCAAAACTTCCAAAATTATAATATTCAACAATGATTGATTTGTAATTCTCTAGCACATCTCTTGAAAAATATTCTCAAATATGAAAGTACATGCAGTCAAAAGTACTAAGTATTAGCCAGGATTTATAGTCAGATATCTATAATCATGCAACTTACCATTTTTACAGATCTCCTCAAAACAAGAGGAAACACACACTGAAGACCAGCAGTCTTAGATAACATCAGATTTTGTTTAAAGTATGTTCACCTTAGCACCATCCAATAAAGAATCTACTGGACTTAAAAACCTTAACAGGCCCACTATGAAGAGCCAAAAGAAAGGAAACAGTCTTGAAGTTTATATGGAACTAGATTAATTCTTTCTTTTCAATATAGAGCTGCTTTATCAGGCAACACTATTTCATATTCTGCTGGACTGACATAGACTTAGATGTCTATTTGCAGAGCACCAGAACACCTTTAGGCTGAATCCCAGAAGCATCAGAACATTTTCTTCACCAGACTGCACTAGCACCTTCCTCTATAAAATATCGTGTTCTAAATACCTACATATATAGATATGTGAATACCATGTTCTAAATGCTTCTAGCAAGCATCAAACAAGTTCCGTAGAACTATGCCAAAACAGCACAGCTGCCTGTTGAAAAGTGAAGTTTCCCCAGCACACAGCTGCATACCAACCTGATGTTCAGCCAGGACAGCATGGGGGTTGTACCTCCTCCAACAATCCACACAGTGAAAAACACGATGAGCAGAGTTGTTGAGAACATCATTTGGTGGGAGTAGGTAGCAGTATCTCGTATAGCCAGAGCAAATGCCATGGCTCCCCTGAGACCTATCAGAAATAATGAAACAGCACAGCTTCAGAAGTGCAGACATGACTGTGGACAGCATCTTCCCTTGCTCCCTCCCACAGAGTGTCAGGCAGAAAGCACTGGGCTCCAGAAGCTTTTAATTTCCTTAGATTCCCTGATAAATTATGCCCTGAGACAATTTACAACAGAATGTTCCAACTGTCCTGGTTTCTTATAACTTATAGAATCTACAAGTGCTGTGAAAAGGTGTAAATACTTCCAGAAACTAACAGGAAAGGAAGACAGAAACAAACAAGTTGTGAACAACAGCAAAACATTATGTAAGTTAAGCAGCTCCCTGAATTGGATGAAAATTCAGACTTTTCCAGTTGAATCCATAATTGGAATGTAAGCTCTTGGCCTGACATTTTTATCAGCTAGAAAAATATTCTAGTTAATTACATGGTCACAGGCAGACTATATCTTTCCTCCTCTCCTCTGCTCTCAGTTATGAAACTTCACTAGCAAGAACAAGCCATGGCATTGAACACCTGCAGATTTCTTATGCAGAGGAATCACAGGATGATTAAGGTTTTAAGGAACCCCTGGAGTTCATCTGATCCAATTCCCCTGTTTAAACAACCCCTGCTCCACCTGCAGTAGGCTGCACAGGACCACGTCCAGATGGCTTTTGAATATCTCCATAGATGGAGATGCCAAAACCTCTCTGGACAATTTGTACAATGCTTGGACATAATAATAATAAATAAAATAAATAAACCTCATGTGTTCCAGTTTGTGCCCATTACCTCTGGGCCTGGCACTGGGCACCACTGAAAACAGCCTGGCTCTATCCTCTTTATACCCTCTTGTGTACAGAGGATTCCCTGGAACTTCTTCAGGATGCACATGTCTAGACACACAATACATAATTTGCCTTAAATTACAGACTTCAACAGTTATCTGTGTGACAGAAATTACAAGGCAATTTAAGTCAAATACCTTTGTCCAAGTAAATGGGAAAAGGCACCTATTTTCTCATCAGGTATCTCTTTCTGCACAACATGAACATCACCTCAGCTAGAAATAACCTTTTGGAAGAGATACATCCCAATTCTCCCATGTCCTTCACAAGCACTTCAAATTAAAATGGTCTATTCCCAACATGAGGTGCTGCCTGCTGCGAGCAGGTAGCATTTCAAGATGACACCCACCCCAGACATGGCACAGTTTCTGTAAAGGCTGAAAGACATATGATGGCATGCTGCAACAATCAGTAAAGCCTTCCCTTTAGGATGCATGAATATGGATCACAAAAACAGAAGGTAGCAAAGTCAATTGCTTATGAGTTAAAATTAAGACTTTTTGCATTGCCCAGAATTTTTGCTCTTACCTGAAAACATCATCATATGCTGAAAGCTCCAGCTGATCTTATGCCTTCTGCCCAAATTCAACAAGAAGGAGAGGGGGTAGATATGTGCAGCTCTGCCCAAAAAGATTGCAACCTGTTTGCAGCTGAGGGTTAAGGATTTCTTTTTCCTGAGGTATACAGTTTTTAGTACCTGGCTTTAACATGAAGCTTTTGTTTTAGTGAGATATTCACATCATGATATCAAGTGTTCTTCCTATAGCTGTGTATATAAAGCAGACTTTCCCCAATTTTATGTAACTTGTGCATTCGAGAGCAATTGCACAAAATGCAAATTTTTACTAAGATAACTAATTTTTTAGATGCACAGTGAAATTATACCTAGTATTAAAATGACCAATTGTACAAATGAAGACCTTACTTTGAGAATTCACACTTTAAACAATTATCACCAGCAGCATTCAATTTTGAGTTTTGGAGTAACAGAAACACAACTCTGTATACAGAGGGGAAGCCAACTTAAGACCAGCAAGTGGCCACCCCATTATGACTCCTGCAGAGGCAAAATATCCTAATGGCTAGCAAACACCAGTACAGAGTTACTAAGAATATAAATCCAAAAGCCATTTGTCAGCACTAGAATGAAGTTGAAAAAGAATAGTGAAAGTATTGCAGAAATTCATGAAAGTAGGTGGTAAGCATCCCCATTGTGATGCAAAACATCCAGTGGCTCCAGTGAAGAAGCAGAAAGCTGAAAACACTCTCCACTGTATAAGGAACACTTAGGGAAAAATTAGAGTGGTGGGCTGAAATCCTGTAAAATGCCAACACGGCCAGAAGCCAAGCAAACACTGATAATTTGCTGCTGGGATGGGAACATTAGAAGAATAATACTTCTCCCATGAAAAAGAAAGAGTATAAGAGCTCTAGACACCACTGGGTTGTTGTCATAACTAAAGTAAAGCAATACTGTCAGCAGGGAATATCTCTAGAAAAATCAGATTTTGATTATTACTTTGTACAATAACCCTTGCACAACTATTCCAAGCAATTTTATACCAGTCCTTTTGAGGACTGCAGAAATCAGACACCAAAAGCAATCAAGACTAATGTATGCAAGAATAATAGCTAAGATTTTGCCAAGGACGCTGAGGCTCTAGCTGTGTCTTTACAGTCCAGCCTTTCACTTTCAACAAGGGGTGATGTCCCTACATTTCACCCCTGCAAGTTGTTCACTCAGTGGGGACCACAGGTCTTGAGTAAAACACCAGTGCTAGTATTAGTTGCCCTCCTCACAAAGGTAGAAAAGCACTCAAGAGACAACAGGGGCAGGATGCAGAGCTTACATGAATGTGACTACTAACAAGTGTTCAGTTCTGGGGAATTTGAGAGTCAGGTACCAAGTCAACCAGAGACAATTGCAGAACCTTTAATTGTGTACCCTTCATGTAATGGTCTGTACCGCAGTTCAGTTCCTTTCTCCTCCCATCACCTGAGATGCTGACCTCTAGGGAATTGCTCAATGATCTATTCACTCACATTCCTATTTATGTATTTGAAGTTTGCCCCTTAATTCTCAAGGGGCCTCTGGAAGTGGAGAGAAAAATTAATCCTTTTCTAGGTCTCCAAAGTTCAGATACAAGAACAACACAAGCAGTGTTGGCTGTCAATAGCCAGAGCACACAGTAAAGCATATTCATTTATTTATTTAGTGAAATGATATAGCTTCTAACATTCAGGTACAGAGGCAACAACCATGTGGCACAGAGGCCATAGAGCTTTGATGTAAGGTGTAACCAAAGATTTTTCTCAAAATTATTGTGCCTTCAAGGCATTATGAAAACTTAGGCCAGCCACCATTCTCTGTTTGGTAAAGCAACAGACATCACAAGTTTTTGGGCACATAAGAAAATAGTGAAACCTCACACAATGTGAAAAAGGATACAAAAGCTCCAATAATGAAAACTGGGCTGAATATGTGCTTCTGGAAAGTAAACAGTGCCAAGCCCATATAAGAAAATATGAAGTTCTCAGCCAGGAAATGCAACACCTCAAAGAGCTAGAGAGAAAACCATCACATGTTAAAGGCTGAGTGCAAAAGATGCTGTAAAAACAAAAGTACATGGACTACTACAGAAATGCACTGTATAAAAGGTAAAAGACATTCTTGCCTGCTTAGTGCGGCTTCTTGATTCAACTGACAAGTTATTGTATGTATAATGTGCCTGGGTAATTCCACAGAAGAGGACAGCCACCACACCTGTGTACAGAACAACATGTAAAAATCAGCCTGTTTAGTGCCAGCTCACCACACTTTCCCTTCACAAGCTCAATTTAATTTATACATAATTCTTATCCTTAAGATTTTATGATTCTTCCATTCAAGTGATTGAGATACCAGGTTAGGGATACGGTATCTGAACCAAACCATTGCCTTTGCTACACAGTCAGCTGCAACTTCAACATGGAACAGAAGGCAAAAAACCTTAACAACCCAGCTTTAGGCACAAACATATTTCTCATTGAAAAGCTTTAATGATAAAATAGCTGCTGAGATGGACTTCTGTGCTTGAATCCAAGCAACTCACCAGTAAATCCACAAGCTTCTGCAAGCAAGAAAGTGCTCCAGGACATCAAGAAGAAGAGAGCCGTTTCCAGCAGGGGGAAGCAGTGCAACTTGGTAAACTTTGTCACGTTAAGTCACTTGTTAAGGAATCAAAAAGAAATCCTTTGGCTTCTCTGTTCCCAGTACTTCTGAAAAACACTTTTATATACTAACAGTGCATACTTCTTGGAAAACAAAACTTTTGATGCTGAAAAAATGTGAATTCCAACACATCAAGGCAAACTTCATGCTCAACTTGCAACAATCAGTTCTGATTACTTTTGTTTTATATCCATAGCATAAAATGTGGCTCCACCTCTTAGAAGTAATATTATATTATTCCATGGTTCCCTTTGAAATGCTAGCAAGGAAGGGATATTTCCCTGCTATTCCTTTTAGATTGTGTGTGCCTTGGCTTTTCAGGGGATTGGTGAGGGAATGATGTTTTGTTCCCCCTGCCAACCTCAACTATAAGTTGCACTCCCACCTTCAAATAAAACATAGAATGCATTCAAAAGCATTTAATTTACAGAGCTGTTCTTGACTACAGCAACCCTAAGATGAACAAGAACTTTTCTTCTCAGATTTTTTAATAAATCTTTTCCAGCAAGCGTGGCTACTTCAGTACTTTTAAGGCAAAGCAATTACTGCCTACAAAATGTATTTCCTCTCCTTGTGCTGATATGTTTTAGAGAAAAGGCCACCTCAGAGCAGCTCAGTCTTTCAAAGGAAAGAAAAAACAATTCGTCTTGCAGAGGAGAGCAAAACCTGAGGAGCATCAAAGCATACACTGAATTAACAATTCATACAGCTCTGAAGAAGCAGAACAGATTTCGGTAGAGTTAAATTTAGCTCTTCACACACAACGAAAAAAGTTGTTCATCTATTTATAGAATCCTTTAGGTGCTTTTTTTTTACCTAAGCACTACTCTGGCAGCAGGTAAACACTGAACAGCATGCCATGTCTGTGGTGCAAACAGCTGTGCACAGTTCATATGAAGGCAACCAGTACCAGCTCTCCACTCACACCTACTTCTTGCTGACATTCTCTTCTGACTTGGACTAGGGCAGACATATACTCCAGACACACCTTCAGCCATGACCTTACTTTGTTAGAAGTTTGCTCTCAAAACAAAGCCCAGACAATCATTTAAAAAAAATTAAACACCATGTTGGCATAACATCAAATATAAAATGCAGCATACTTTTTAGACAGCTGTTAATTCTGCAAAGAAACCACCTCTAAAACTTTTGAGCTCATTTGAATTCCTCCTCACCACTTCCCCCAAACAGATCTATTTTCTAAAATCATGCTTCGGAAGCAGTAATATCCACCATAACAAAAACTTTCCCCACAGAGTAATCAGATAATCCCAGTGTCTGGATCAAGGGACATTCATGGATGCCTAAGGAAACTGGATAGCCACAGCACTCCATGGGAGAGGAAGAAGTTGAACCTTGTCCCCCTGAAGTTAGACAAGGGATCCTGTCAGAGCCAGTTCCTTATTTCCAGTCTTTTCTGGCAGTTTTGTGAATCAAACTGTTTATTCCCCTTGCTGTTATTATAAGTAACCATACCAAAATAATTAATTAAATATGAATTTAGAACCTTTGCTCATCATTTTGGAGGAAGATCAAGGTGAGAGGCAAGAAAAAAAAAGTTTTATTATTTCATATAATTGATCAAATTGAAATGTTAGCTGAAACTGAATTATTTTTTTTTCTTAACTATTTTCTTTATTTGTTAGACATGGTTTTGTATTTCACATCTTTTCAATCAGTCAGATGCTGCTATTTAGTAAAAATATACAATGTGGTACTATAACAACTATTTTTTAAAAACCACAGACAGCTTGCTGAAAGCCAGAATAAATCCTTGTACATTATCTGCATAATTTGGAAACCAAGCATTCTATCTATTCTCAAAGGACAGTGCATGACTGCATGAAACCTTTTACTCAAAGAGGTACAGGTATAGGTACTTCACACTATAGGAATATTAACTTAATCCTTAATTTATGGGTACTAATCAAGTATGAATAGTAAAAGGCAAATTTTTTTTGCTTCTACAGCATTGCATAACATTAAGGATGTTTCCAAAATAAAATAGTCATATAATTAAACAAACAAGGAAAAAGAACATCACAAAACTAAAACAGAACAAAAAGAAAAATATTCCCACCACACACACAAAATGCCACCCCAGAGGCTTTGTTCTGAACAGCCTCACATCACCTTCCTGAGCACAACCATTAGAAAAAGCAAGGATTGGTTGCTGCTTTAGAAGCATAACTTTACAAAGTGGATCTGAAGGCATTTCAGCCTTAATTAGTATCCAACCAGCAAGCCAAAACCCACAACAACTGCATTTGAGTAGTGAGAGCTATGGATGGCTGCTGGTAGCCTAAAAGCCAGAGGAAGAATTGTGGTTCTGGGTCACATAAATTGCAGATCAGTGGAACTGAGACTGAACATTAAAGCATCAACAGCACATCTTCCCCATTATACTTAAAGGGTTTCCATCATGCAGACTTGTCAGGCAGTTCTGCATAGTGTGTGTATATAAGATACAGTTCAGACAGTTCTGCTTCAGAGTCACAGGTTCATGATCCCTGTACAGAACAGCACATTTTACCCCTTTCAGGTCAGGGTTCAGAAGCCCAGACACATCAGAGCAGCCTGGGATATGTACAAAAATGGCCATACTAGTCTGTCAGAAAGCAAAGACTTCATTTGGTTCCTGAAGGAGCATCATGACTCCTGGAGTAGGTCAGGCTGAAGGTCTACTACCTGAGCCTAAAACAAGACCCACACAAATTGCATGCTAAGCACCTCAGAAATCTAACCAAATAACAGCAACAGGGATCAAGAGAACAGCATAGATCATGTAAGGCACATCATGTTATTGAGTTAAACTCTCATTGAGAATTGAGATACAATCTTATCCAAGATGTATGACATCAGATTTCTGGAAGAAAAAAAAAGAAAAAAAAAGCAGGACTCAAAGAATGCTGTGGGGGTCAGAAATAACAGAGATTTTGCTGAAGGTAGAATCAAATACCATTTATCACAGGAGATGTCTTTCAAGACTATAAAACTATGTTTTATAACTCCATAAAAAGAAATTAAGCATTATTAGGACACGCCTGTTTAATGCCCTTCCTTGGTTTGTTGCAGCAACACCACTAAAATTTCTACTATGGCCTCAATTTGTTGGAAAGAATTGATTTCTGTGAGTACCTATAATGTCTTTCTATAGAAAAGAAGTCAAATGAATACTTATCATATCTTCATGCTCATAATTAAACAAGCTAGAGTCAATTCTGCTACAATGGGAAAAAGGAAAGCCCTGATAATATCTACATGTGCTATTTCTGTTGTAATAACCAAATATGGAAAAGGATATCAGAGCTGTCACAACTCCTGTCACTGCTCCCATCATGAAAGAACCACTGAATATTCCCAGGAAAACACCAACAGACTTGAAAAATGCTGCAGCATCAAAAGCATGGGTATTTTCACCTGTTGGCTGGTAAGCAACTATAGATCTAGAAAGAGAGAACACAATGACAAGTTAGAAGTGATATCAGGAAAGATATTTTTGTAACAACACTACCTGAGCAACAGGGAGACAATCCCATGCTAAAGGCATGTGTGTCATTCTGGCCTATATATGCATTAGGGGCCTTGGAAAATGTTTGGAATGGTTATCAATCCAGTTAAAGGCAATCCATTTAAACTTGAAATAATGTTTCTCAAAAAAAAAGCATTTATTTTAGACAAGTGCCAAAAGCAATTTAGTAATTTCAGAGTAGAAATTCCCATAGTAACTTACGAGGATAATACAATGGCAACAGCGTCATTCAACACGCTCTCTCCAAACAGAAGGGCATAGAGATCGACATCAGCATGCAGCTCATTAAATATTGCTAGCACGGTAACTACAGAAAGAAAAGATGAAAACAACACTGCAATGACTACATGAGCTGTGGAGCAGACTTTCCAATTTGGCTAAAGGAAGAAAATGCAGGAAGTGAAGTGCAGGATCAAAACTAAAATGGGAAACCTTAGTCATGTTTACCTACAAATAAGCAATTCCTCCATCAGTTTTACACCAGCTCCATTAAGAGGTGGCTCTTTTGTCCTCCCACCTGCACAGCGCTCATAGCAAGGCCCCCATGATCAAGGGGCATGGGGCAGACAAAGTCCTTCTACCAAAGCCCTGTATTATTTTAGAACATCTTCCATTTAAGACAGTAAGCAAAATGTTGTGCAGCTCTTCCTGCTTTTAAAAGCTGGTATGGATTGTTGACATAGGTTTATTATTTCAGCCATTGTAAAATAGTACAAGTTACCCTAAGTGTTCCCTAAGTATCCATTATGCCACAGGTGTGAATTTCCACATAATTTAAAAAGGACAAGAGTGCTAAATATTTATAATCATTCTCCCAAGAAAATTCTGAGATGAAAGACCATGATCTTGAAGTTGTTCCCATAATATGCACTTCAAAAAATCACATGGTGATTTTTTGCATAAATTGTATGCAACCACCAGCTGTTCAGAGCTCAGCTCAATCACAGGAGCTACTTCCCATTTTCACACTAATCACCACTAGGCACCTCAAATAAACTGCTTTAAATGTCAAGCTTCATACTTCAGCACTCCCCACCCTGGCACCTGACCTTTGCCAGCCCTACAAACTGATCTGTCAAGTGGAGACTTCAATGTGAGCCTGCTTGACTCTGAAGGATGTCTACATTGTTTGGGCAAAAGATGAAATTACTTGGCCAGAAAAGGATTCTTCTGCCCTAACTTATAAAACATGAAGTTTATTTGAAAGAGGAAAAGAAAATCCCCCACCTAAAGACTCTAAAAGCTTCAAATATTGCTCTTAAATTTCCTAGCCCCAAGCAATGTAGCTGAAGAAGGAAGTCCTGCTATCCCAAAAATGCAATAATTTCATCTATTTTGTTGCACAATTAACAATAAACCACTTAACAAAAAACATATTTAAGTATTTGAAAAGGAGGAGTGTTAGACTTTTCTCCAAATATACTATGATGTCATGCCAGTTTAGTCACAAATCAGCAGAGAACAGTTTACAAAATGTTTTTCAAAATGAATTTGCATGTATTGCAGAGAAGAGGTTCAGAGATGCTAATAACATAACTGAAAATAGAGTTCTGTTAATATGCAGCTGAAAATCCTAACAATAGCGTTATTTTGGAAGTTTATTAAAAATGTTCATCAAGCTACCTGGATCAGTGGCAGATATTATCGCTCCAAAGAGGAGGCAGTCTGTATAATAGAATTTATCAGACAGCTGACCCACCAACTTCATTAGTTTCACAACCCCATACATGAGATTCCTGAAGAGAAAGAAGATAAAACATTCCAAGTCAAACAATATGGTGCCTTTCAGTCAGGCCAAGGGAAAGCACAAACAACAATATTTCAGACAGGCTTGTTTATGCTACAGCTCAGTGGGACACTGCCACAGTGTAGCACAAAGCTCTCAAAGTGAACTTTCCTCTTTTCCCTGTGAAGCAAATCAAGCAATGTATGATCCAGAAGACATAATATAAAACCAGTAAATCTGAAATCTTCACACAATTAGCACAGAGTCTACATGTTTCTTCCATTTCCACAAAGTTCTCTCTGCTCAAAATTCCCCTAGAACTATTTCTCCCAGCACAAAGGCCAAAAGCTCTGAGGTAAGAATAATCTACAATAATAGATTACTTCTCTAGTGAATTTTTGAGAGACAAGTCAAGGTCACCAATACAATTCAGGATTTCTGTTAATCAGAATATCCATATAAAAGACACAGTAATATGAGCAGGATAAGAGATTGCAGGCAAGCAAATCAACATGACCAGTTATCTTAAACTAAATGTGTGTGTATATACATACATAAAATATATATATGTAGGCAAAGAGAGAGAGTGTTTATCAGCTTAAACTTTAGTGTAGAGAGGAACTGATATCAGTTTACTTACCCAATAATAAAACAAGACACTGCTGTTCCTAAAAAGGCATAAGCCAAAATGGACCCCAAATTCCTGAAAAAGTGTCTCTGCACAAGAAAAAGAGGTTTATATACTTCAGAAAAGTTATATTGCCCATTCAGAACCATGTAGCACACTACTTCATTTGTATCAATAGAGAGAAATACACTTCTATTTCAGAGAAACATTTCAATTACTGCTATGTAAATTCAATCTAACTTCAATAAATTGAATAAACCAGATCTGTGCCATGCATTAGACCCTACATGTAGCTTACTGACAGAAGGCTTATTGACAGAAACCAGCACCAATTCATGGTGTCTTCAAGCAAGATCACAATCTGGGCCCTACTGCCATTAAGGGTCTGGCACATCTTCACTGGGATTCAGGATTAGGTCTGCCTCTCAGCATAATTTATTATTGCATTTTGGACATTTGAGAAGGACCAAAACAATTCATAACAGAACATCTTTTACTTTAAATGAAACTGATATCAATGTCTGGCTAAGTTCAAAGGAAAATAAATCAGCAAAATTAAGTAAAGTTTAATACATTTTTACTCAAAAATATATGTATTTTCTCTTAAAACAATATGACCTAACCATCTCTGGAGGAAATGAGATTTTTCTTACTGTAAGTAAATGCCTGAAAGGAGACTACAATCCTGACCAAATCAGCAATCTTTCATTTTAAAAAAAGGATCTATTCTCCTCAGAAGATATTGCACTTACTTTTTTCAGGCTATAACCAGCATGAAAAATAATAGGAGGCAATAGAATGTTGAAGAACACTTCTGGGTCAAATGTTACCTAAAAGATAAAATATGAAATTTCAATTAGAAACAGACATACACAAATTGTTGGGACTTTTTTCTTCATTCATTTTCTGACAACAAGTATTTATGGTTGTTGAAATAGATAAGTTGAGCCTCTAAAACATTGGACAGTTCTATTTGTACATAGCAGCAAAAAGCTGCAGCTCTTGTTGGTAAATAGCATCTAGAAAGAACATGCATTACATCGTGATCTGGCAGCAGTCCAAACACAGTCTCCTATTTTAAAGAAAAAAATTCTAAAATTATGCTGGAAAAGATCTCTCCTATTGTGATACCTGATATTGGTATAGCTGCATATGAAATGCTATTTTAGCTTACTTTTTTGTGCAAATTTAGCCACTGAATAGTTAGTGTAAGCCTGGCAAATGAGATACAAGACTGGTCTTCAGAAATTTGGATCATACACCTCTTCCATGTATTTCAGTAGAAGTTCCACATATCCATGAAGGACTACACTACACTAAAGAACAAAAAATAACATTTTAAATGCAAACAGAAGACCCTCACACATATGACAATAACTAGGCTCTCTTCACCTGCTGCCTAAGCCCAGGTTAGAAGACAAACACTACAACTGTGCCCTCCCAGAGCAGTACTCATTTCCTTGAGATACCTACTGCAGACAGATACACATAGACAGCTAAGCTCTCTTCATAAGCTGCAGAAAGAAGTAATTTTAGATCACAATCCTATGCTTCTAAGTCTAGCTTTGATACACACAAAAGGTGATTAATTCCTGACACTGAATAAAAAAGCAAATAACACATCTGAATAACTGCTGATAAGTGAATTTTACTTCTAACACCAGACTGTCTCATTTGCTGGTTTATTGGGTGGAAGCAGTAACTATTTCCTGACAATACGCAGATTTTAAAACCCTGGAAAAAAACAAAACAAACAAAAAACCCACAAACAAACAAACAAACAAAAAAACAAGGAACAATCACTTTGCACTAAGAAATTATCATTTTCCTTATATTGCATTTATACAAAGCAGCACAAGGCCTTTTTTTCTTTTTTTCTGTTCAGCTGGTCTCTGTGAATTCTACAGATACAGAGTTAAGTCTTCAAACCAAGGCCTTTAGGACAGCACTACATACATGTAACAGAGCACAGTTTCTCCAGCAGTGGTATAATACAGAAGGTGGTTTTGAATGAAGCATTAAAGTGCTGTTGCTGTTGACACTACTTAAGGTTCAAACGGTATGGAGGGAGGAGAGAGGGAAGCACAGATAAAGGAGAAATACTTAGTCAGTCATGCAAAATGGTGTAGCCTCACCTTTCTCAACATGTCATTCTGCTCCACGTTGTGGATCTTGCCAGGGCTGATTTCCCCTTTGAGCGTGTACTCGAAGAACTTGCCGCTGACATTGACCAGCAGGGTGGTGAAGGGCCTGTCCTCCTGCGAGCAGCTGAATGGTTTGTCATGGCCACTCGTGGAGGGAGTCCCGTACCTCAGGATCACCCCAACTATGAGTCCTGGAAGAGAAGTAAAAACCTATGAGCCTGATCTGCTACTCCTGCATTTTACAAGTATCAAACATTATCCAAGGGATCATGCATGAACTTTACAAGTATATGGGCATCATAAACACGTTGAAGTGAATTGTTACTATCAGTTTGCTGCAGAGGAAGAGAGGCTCTGATCACATCAAAACTACCAGTGGATCTGAAGTACCTGCTACCTGACTGAAGTGACAAACAAAAGGTTCCATTTCAGTTTTTGTCTTCTTCACCCTCATTCACACCTCAAAAGTGTAAAACCCCTGTCACATGAGAGGCCGGACATAACAAATGCATTTCACCAGCCTTAGGACAGAACCGAGCAAACACTATTGCCAGAAAACAATGACTGCTGAAAACATGTGACAGTAACTGATCTGGAATTGTGATGTTTGCCATATTATTTTATGGCTGCAGCAAGAACACAGTTTTTAGTCTTATAGTTCTAGGCAAGTAAACAATGCCTGTTGCACAATCTTCTGTTTACTCCACAAACTTTAAAACTAGGACAGATGACATGCACAAAGAAGCCACTATATGTCATTTGCAAGCATTCTCTACATAAACAAAAATAAAAGAAGGTGTAAGTGAGCAATCATAAGAGGCCCAGGATTCAGGAATACAGGACAAATCGCTTAGGCAGCAGAGAAAATCCAGCCAGAAAAGACTATCAATAACAAATGCACCAGACACAGTAACAAAAATAATTTGTAACTTAATGCCAGGGGGCTGGAGAAGCACAAAGTTCTAACGGAGCACCATCCTCTTATAATATACTAAGAAAAGAACATCTGCAGAGAGAACATATAAGAACGGTAAAAGTGGTTTTGGTCTGGTAAGTAAACAAATTGATACCCACTTACTAAACGCTCCCCTGTTGCCTTAGGATGATCTGCAATTTAATCCTTGATCCAGACAACTGCAAGATGAAGATGGATGTTTGGTGCTTTTGCTCACAAGTCATAGTCAGTGTTGGATTTGCTCCCTGTGACCCTCCCTCTGCATCCAGTTTCCCCAGAGAGTAAATTAAGCTCACAGGTAGTAACCAAAAAATAAACGAGGTAAAACAAACCAAAAATCTACTATGCATGACAAAAACATAGGGCAAAGAGTAACCAAGATGCACCCCCAAAAAACCAACCAAAGAAGTACACCTCAAGTCCATACAAACAAAACTTTTAATGCAAGAAGATACAGCAGGTAGCAGCGGTGACACTAGTGGGAGGCTCATCTCCAGCCTTCCTTCTCTAAGAACAGAGCAGCAACATGATAATTCCAAAGTACCTGGAATATTAAGATACATTTTATTTAGAAAAGGGAAGTACATACTCAGAGAGAACACTGGAAGAGATCTCCTAAACAAGATATTTCTACTTACTGAAATTTCAATGCTAACAATTCAAAAACACAGATTTATAGAAGTATCTGCTAACACCACCAGAGCACTTTGCAGCTATATATGATGGATGAGGCAGAAACACAGCTCTGCACAAAGTGACAGGTTACAGCCAGTCACCTCCAAGCCACTTGCACTACCAGTTAAAGCTACAGACCCCTTCACCAACCCAGCCAGGCGAGCAGCCTAAGATTTCTGCTGCTCTCACCCTACTCACAGCTAGGAAAGGCTACGCTCACAGAAGACATCAGGAAGACTGACTGTGGTAAAAATTGATCTAACCAGCATCAGCCAGAAATCCTGCAGTAAATCAGAATGCAAAATAAAACTGTACAGATGAACTTATACATAGCTGTGGTATAAAGCCAATTCTATATTGCTACTCAGCTGAGAATAGAGGGGAACATTGGTAGCTTCTTAGGGTCAGAGACTATCCTTACTGAATGCATTGCAAAAACAGATGGGAAATCTCATTACTATTTCATTAGGAAGAGAAACCTGAGAACAGGAGGTAATTGCACTTTATAACTGGATATAATCCACTTGTACATTCTCCTCCACAGTAAGATATACCAGTTATATGACAATTATATTCAAAACTAGTACTTCACATTTGAAGTGAAACATTCTATCCCGTATCCTCGGTCTCCCATAGCCCAGCAGCAGAGCTACAGGGCATTTTTTACACCTCCTATTGATAAAAAAGCAAAATGGATGAGGTTTTTATACTGAGATCCATGCAGTTTAGGAACACATGGTCTTTGCTGTCAGGGTGCTCTCTTGCAGCAGGATGCACCTGGACCTTTGTTGAGGCAAAAGGCTGTCAGAAGCAGTCAAGTGGATAAAGCCACCCACAGCTCAGTCATTAAAGGAAATATGTATGAAAACAAAAGGGCCCCAAGGAAGACACACAGATTCCTCAGCCAGTTTCATTGGAAAAATACTAGACATTTGTTATTTCAAAAGATGAATTAGAAGAATAGAAAGATCCCTGACTTTACAAAGGTACAGGCATACTACTATATACATCATATAGTCCCAAACCAACAGGTTTTGAACATTGAAGTGAAACATTAAAGCACACATTTGACAATAAGTCATTAGTGCTTTTCCTAAAAATATTTGAAATCTTCACAAAAAACTATTTGGAAAAGTTTTCTGTTTTCCAATGAACATTGCATCTTTTACACACTAAAAAGTTCCTTGACTTGTTATGTGATTTCTACGTCGCATCTCACTTGATAATATGACATTAGCAAAGCTCAGACAGCTCAATCAGCTCTCCAGGATCACAAAAAACAAAATCCCCAAATGCTTTTCAGGCAGAAGAAACTGCCTGACTTAAAGCCTCAGGAAGGATGCCCTTCTAAGCTGTCTGCCATTAGGTGTCATACAGAAGACCAGGGCATCCTCTGTAATTCTCCCTGGATACTTGATTTCAACCATTCCTGAAACATCAGAGTTGCAGCTGAAGAACAAAAGTAGAATAGAGAGACACCTGGAATTTTTCAGTGGATAAGCCTAGACTAAGTCTTACTTACTGTTAACATAAGCATAAATTCAGTATAGCTCTGTTGCTTATTTGGAAGCAAGGAATGGCTGCTGGAACCTAGGAACAGATACAGAAGAATCAGTACATAAACTCTGTGTTACTCCTTCCCAAGGTGTTACTGCTGGAGAGTTATGGAGAACCTGGAACAAAAGCAAATATGTTTCTGACTGCTTAAGAAGACTCTAGCTCTTCTAAAAGAGAACCTCTAGGCCAAATAAATCCAGCAGTGCCTTTTATTGCAAGACTGCAACAAGATAGAAAAAGCCATAACTGGGTACAAATATTTCAAAATTTGAGAAGGGCCTTACTTTCAAAGTTTTGGTTGTGGTAGCTATTGCAAGAGCAAGTTTACTTCATTGCTCAAATACTCTTATGAAGAATTATCTCAAAAACTAATATGTAATAACCTGTATGCATGACTTGCACTCTCACTTTTAATAGAGAGCATTTATGCCAGCAGCTTGCCTGTACAATGCTGATCATGCAGGTTGTATACAAAGAATATCTTATTAAAAATGAAGTGTTAAATCCTGGGAATATTTTGTCCCTTCTGAAACAAATCACTATTGACAATGAAAAATATTGGATTTCAGATATAGTCATAGCATCATTTAGGTTGGAAAATACCTAAGATCACCGAGTCAGAAAATACCTAAGTAGGAAAATACCTAAGACAATCTAAGATCAACAGTTAACCTGGCACTGCCAAGCCCACCATTAAACCATGCTCCTACGTGCCACACCTGCACATCTTGTAAACACCTCCAGGGATGGTTACTCATCCACCTTCCCGGGTAATTCCAATCCTTGATCATCCTTTCAGTGAAAAAAAATAATCCTAATATCCAATCTAAACCTCCTTTGATGCAAATAGATTGGTCAACACCAATCTAGCAATACACCATTTAAAATGTCATCTTTACTTTTGGTTTGTTTGAGTACAGAAGTCACTGAAGCGAGAACATGAATTCAGAAATACACACATAACCACGAGTGCCGTTATCTGCTAAGAGCTGTGGTCTGTGTGATTTCCAGCCCAGCTCTCTGATGAAGCAGCCCTGAGGTTTCAGGGGGTGCCAGCTGGCAGCTGACTGCAGGAACCAGAGGCATTCACACTTCACATCACACAGTTTGATCAGTGAATTCAACTTGATCTGTGAAGCAGTGGAGTGGATCAATCCGTGAGCTCAAACCTGTTCAGATACAGGTTCCTTCATACACTTCTGGTAAAGAGCCAGGTGCTGAAAATTGAGGGTCCTTCCCTTCCAACCTTCAAACTGAGAGAGACTTAGTAGAGATTTTACTGCTGTTTGCAGCTACACTCTGGGGAGACAGAGGAGGGAGGGACAGGATCTTCTGGAAAGTGTACAGTGATTCATATTAAAGGCAATAAACTTGTTGCAGTGTACGCAAAAAAAAAAAAATTAGCACTTTTTTTTTTTAAAAAAAAAACAATGAAGTGGTTAAGTACCAGAGCAGGCTGTCACAAAGGCTGCATAATCTCCTTCCTTGCATATAGCCAAAACTCACTTGGGTATGGCCATAAGCAACCCAAGCTGTGGGGGACTGCTGTGAGCAAAGGGCTGGACAAAACTACCTCCTAAGGTCTTTCTCATGAACATTTGGACTCCTCAGACAGATACTTCCTACTGCAAAAAATTATTTTAAATCACCTTAATTGCTTTCTGGATCAGGTCATGGGGCTTTTTGTTGCTTTGGAGCTGGGTTTTTATTTTGTTTAAATGACAGACTGCTCTCCTAACTCAGTAAGTCAGAGCAAAATAAATAGCAATGAGTCTTATCATGAAAGCCAAAAAGACCCAGCAGACTAGGAGGGGGCTGCTTTTACTGCCTCAGTCCACCCTGACTTCCACCCACCTTGGGCCTCAACTGACCCTATCAAAAGCAGGCAAAAGGGGTGACCAGGAGATCCCAGGCAGCTAGCAACAGGACAAGTGGAAATTGCCTAAAGCTGTGGCAGGAAAGGTTGAAGCTAGACATTAGGAGGAATTTGTTCACAGAAAGGCT